TTCGCATTGTGATTTTCATTTCGCATTGCGATTTTCATTTCGCATTGCGATTTCCATTTCGCGTTGCGATAGTCTGTTTTGCCTTCAACATAAAGCAGATTGAAAATCAACAAATCAACTATTACATTTCAACACAAATTATGTACACATCAATTAAACAAATCAAGATTTACAAATCATCTTTTACAAATCAATTAAACAATCAAAAAATAATAATTATTCTTATTTCTTCATCAATTATGAATCAATGAATCAACAACTTTGTGACCCCGTACATCCATTTCACGCAGCTCACTTAAGGATTAACCTGCAGAAACCAAACATTTGCTCAAACAAGACTTCCTACACATCTAAAACCTACAAACAGCAAATTATTGAATTCTAGGTACTTAACCAAACATTTTCAAACCAAAAGGAGTATATATGTTAACAAACTTGCATTTGACTTACCAATTAACAATGGACACTTTCATAACGCGGATGCAGGTAGGCAGCGTCTCGAATATATTGCTCTAGCCATATAATGCCGAAACCACAAGCCTACTGCAGCTTTATCTCTATCGGTGGGAGGTAAAAACTCTGTGCTTCCCGTCGTCAAATGCGCCAAGCAAAGGCATACGAGAGGACCACAATCCCCTCTGGCTCCCGGCGATTGCTGTGGCGCGGTCTCGTCTCTGACAACTGTGACATTGAACTTCTTTGGCTTCTTGTGTCCAGAATGACTCCAATACTTAATCCCATCCAAGAATTTAGCCAAATGAGAGCTCCATCCCTTGAAAATATCTCTCAAATCAGACAGTGATATGTAATTGATCATGCTGTCATACACTATTATCTTCAGGGATGGGAGCTGAAGTTGGACGAGAAGCCAGTGACGACGTTCCGAAACAGGGATAAACACCTGCGATCATAAGTAATAATTCATTTATTTGCGCACTTATTTATTAACACCTTTAAAAAATTTAAAAATAAACACTAACCTTATCGACCTCCCACCATGCAGGATAAAGTTTAGCTTGTCCATTGCCCAACAAAAATGATTCATCTCGTTGATTCTTCAAGTGAACTGCGTGAAAAGCCGTCGGCATTATTGTATATAGCAAATTTTTTTTTATTTTTCCTAAGCTTCCTTATTATTAGTAGACGTGACACCCACGCATCGATATGCTGTTTTACAAAAAAAATACATATATTAGTGAATTACATTAATTTTTAAACAAATTAATCAAAATCATATATAGACAAATATAGTCTTACCTCCCCATCCAAATAGCCACTGTCTTCAACCCCTAATAGCACACCCCACCAAGACCGATCAAGCAACAAAAACATTTCATCGTTGAGTTTGCTGATGTCAGTGTAACACCCTTGGCTCCGCTCATGTAGATAAAAATCAACTGCGGTCTTAGCCCAAAGGGTATTATCCACAATTGTTTCCGGTAGTTGTCTCCTCTCCACTTCAGATACCGGAAGGGTACTAGCCGGTAACTCATACGAGAGCCAACTCTCATCCATCATGTCCGGAACCGGTGGGGGTTTCTCAATACTTCGATATATTACCCCATGTGAATCGGGCTCTGGAATGGTGGGAGGGACCTCTTCAACGATGACAGTGGCCTCTTGAACGGTGGGGGGGGAATCTTGAGTGAGAATAGGGGCCTCTTGAACGATTGGAGGGGACTCTTGAGGGATGACCGGTGAGTCGGACTTCTTCTTGCGGAGTCTTCGCACCATTGGGGTGAACGGAGACGTAATAGCACGTCCACGCCGTCTGATGCGTGAACTCCGTCGTGCAAGGAAAACCCGACGTAAAGCATCCACCTTATCGGGCCGCTAAAAAAAATTAATACATAAATCAGTAAATAAACAGACATGATATTAAACAAAGACAAATATGTTTCAAACTAGCATTGTATTCACCCAAATCATTATTCTATCATAGTTCACAAAATACTCAGATAACATTCCAGAAGTAAGCACTTATATAACATTTAAAAGGACAACATATATAAACATTCCAGAAGAAGAATAGTTTACTTTCGCAACACGAAACTTAAAATCGCAACGCGAAATGACTATCGCAACGCGGAAATGGCTATCGCAATGCGAAATGAAAATCGCAACGACAAAATCGCAACGCGAAATGAAATCGCAACGACAAAATCGCAACGCGAAACACAAATCGCATTGCGATTTTCATTTCGCGTTGCGATTTTGTCGTTGCGATTTCATTTCGCGTTGCGATTTTGTCGTTGCGATTTTTATTTCGCATTGCGATAGCCATTTCCGCGTTGCGATAGTCATTTCGTGTTGCGAAAGTAAACTATTCTTCTTCTGCAAATTGAAACTTGAATGGATTGCATTACTTCAACCAAAAGACAAAAACAAAACCAAAAACAAATACTAACAAAAACAGATTGGCAGCAACCGAATGAATTACGAGTATGAAAAATCTTAAACTTACCTCGTTGCGTAGAGTATGAACCTCATTCTGCAACGATGCTACCATCTCACGTAGAGCGGCTACCTCACCGCGTAATGTAGACACCTCAACACGCTATGCACCATCGTCTTTGCGTAAAGTACCGACCTCCTCACGCAAGGCATTGACCTCATCACGTAACTCCCCTAACTCATCCCGTTGAGGTGGAGGTGGAGAACAGGGAGATAAACGTCGTGGCATCTTTGCCGGTCGCCTATCTTGCGGTGATGGTGGAGAAGAGGCTCGATGATGTGACAGAATATGTGATGGCTGTCGTTGTGGAGGTGTATAGCCGGGTCGATCAGATGATGGCTCTGGGTGGGGTGATAGCTCTGGGCGAGGTGATGGCTCCCGAAGTGGAGGCTGCTCATCAACCGTTCCATCAAAAAAACGCTTACTAGCTTGCCACCAATCAGTGGCAAGCTCAGCTTCCGTGGGTGTCAGCCTCTGTAGAGGAGTGTTGGCCTCCTAACAATATAAAGCTCAAACAAAGTTAAATGTGTACTAGTAATAACTTGTTTATAAACATATGGTAGTATTTATGTTAACTTACATTATTTATTGTCGTATACCGTAGTAAATCTTCCCATTGCAAGGTTCGTTTCCTCTTCCAGGAAATAGCCCTGGGAATATTATTTGAAGTTTTTATTGCATATGTCTTCATGGCGGGAAAGGCCTCAAATATCCAAATCTACAAACAATATAATAACAAACATTAGTAATTGTTAAATAATTACTTATAATTTTGGAAACATTATATAAAAATTCTTACCTTAAAGGCCCAAATAAAGCCTGTCAAAGTGTATTTGGAACCATCGCCATGCAAACTTTTTCGATCATCCAAGGCAGACGATAACTTATTCCATGTAGCTTTCCATAAATACGAGCCCCACGGAAACAGGTTCCACGCATTTAGGTCTTCTACCAATTTGATTAGATCATTTGGAATAGGTTGTCTGGCCTCTCTGCCTAAAAAGCCGGCATGCAAAAGAATTAGAAGGCATACTCGGACAACGTCGACGTCATCCATCCGAGTAAAACCATCTTTATTATTCAAAAATCTTGTCAGGTCTTCTACGTGTAGACTCGGCCTCTCCAGCTCAGGAAAAACCCGGGATAGCCATGATGGGCGGGTAATGTGTCTAGTGTACCGACCTACATCATCGTGTCCGAAGCGTAGACCGGTGATTAAGCAAAACTCCTCCCGCCCAAAACACGTATACGCCGGTGGAAAATCAAACCATATCTCTTCATCACGACGTTGTATAGTCTCTGGTAGATCTCTAGTCATGGTTTGAAGAAACAGGTGTGTCAACATCGCATCTCCACCGGGATGTTGTACTTTCAGCCATGGCCCGAAGCATGTATCCTCAAACATTTTTCTTTGTGCAGGTGAAAGCTTCGACGCAATTGTTTTGGCCAGGCTGACTTTATTTCTCAAGGTCAATTGAGCCGAATAAAAGTTCTACAAAAACAATAAACATACTAAATTAGATATACCAAAAACTACACTGTGAAGATATACCAAAAACAATAATAAACATAAATAGTAGTAGTTTATTCTTCAAACTTAAATATGCAACACTGTGAAGTAATCGCAACACGAAAATGACTATCGCAACGAGAGAATCGCAACGCGAAACTAAATCGCGTTGCGATTTGCATTTCGCGTTGCGATTCTTGGTTGATTTAATAAGCAATCTAAGTGAAATGGTTAATCTATTATTGAAATTACCAGTAAACTTATCATCAATTTCAATATGAAAAACCTAATAATAATGCAAAAATTTCAAAAAGAAAATAATTAAAAAAACTAACCCTCGTTGGTTGATTTGGTTGATTTTCCATTTCTGATTGTGAGGGTGGCTCTGAGAGATTTAGATAGACGGATTTCGCCGGAGATGGGGACGGATTTCGTCGGAGATGGGTGAGAGAGTGAGAGATGGAGATGGGACTGAGTTGTGATTTTAGGTTTTATGTTATGAGTTGCGATTACGGGATATACTGTGGACAGTTCAGTGTTCCAATATATTAATATTCATGTTTGGAATTTAAAAATAAAATACTTGGCCAGGATACTAATGGCGCTTTGAAAATCGCATTGCGATTATGTAAATCGCGTTGCGAAAGTCAGTATCGCGTTGCAAAAGTAAGTATCTCGTTGCGATTTTGTATTATCGCATTGCGATAGTAAGTATCGCATTGCGATTTTCCCAATTCGCGTTGCGATTTACTTATTCGCGTTGCGATTTTCCCAATTCGCGTTGCGATTTACTTATTCGCATTGCGAATTGGGAAAATCGCAACGATACTGTAGACCATCGCAACGCGATTTTCAACTATCGCATTGCGAAAATACAACGCGAATTTGCGATAATGGAGATCACGTTGCGAATTAGCAATCGCATTGCGATTTTGTTGGTCATTTTGATAAATCCGAAAAAAATTGGTTAAAATCGTATATTATATGAGATTTTTGGTCACCGAGGATATTTTCTCTTTCATTTCATCTCCTCTTGCAAACAACCTAACACCTTTGCCTTCTTTCTGTTTCAACCACCAATGGCTGAAGCAATTGCTTTCGACATCGCCGTACGGCTCATTACCAAATTGAGCTCCATCGCTCTCTCTCAAATAGGACAGTTGTGGAATTTCAAAGATGACCTCGATGATCTCAAACGCACCATCGCTAGAATCCAAGCTGTGCTGCTTGACGCAGAAGAGCGATCGGTGACCAGCAATGTTGTCAAAGTTTGGCTTCATGAGCTGAAAGATGCACTGTATGACGCGGAAGACTTGCTGGATGATGTCCAGACTGAAGCCTTGCGGAAGGACCTGATGAGTGGGAACAAGCTAACGAAAGAGGTACGTGTTTTCTTCTCAAGCTCAAACCAGTTTGCTTATGGTCTCAAAATGGGTGGTAAAATCAAGGCCAGATTTGCTTTCATTCAAGGTCAGATCAGTGAGTTAAAGTTGGTAGAGCGTGATCTTCCCGTGGAAACTCCTTTCACGGCCAAAAGGAGGCGGCAGACACACTCTTTTGTGGGTAAAGAAGAAATAATAGGAAGGGACGGTGATAAAGCAGCTCTTCTAAAACTCTTGCTAGAAAAAGAGTTTCAAAGTGAAGAGAATGTTATCATCGTTCCAATTGTGGGGATTGGAGGGTTGGGGAAGACTGCGTTGGCGCAGTTTGTCTATAATCATGAAAGGGTTAAAGATCATTTTGGGTTGAGGATGTGGGTTTGTGTTTCCGATGTTTTTGATGTGAAAACAATAGTGGCAAACATTATCAAATCCGTGACTCATCAAGCACCCAATCAAAATCTCGAGATGGATCAATTGCAAACACAGCTTCGAGATAAAATTGATGGGAAAAAATACTTGCTTGTTTTAGATGATATTTGGAACGAGGAGGGAGAACAATGGTTTAGCTTAAAGAAGTTACTGATGGGTGGGACTAGAGGAAGTAGAATAATAGTAACTACTCGCTCTCATAGAGTAGCAAAGGTTACTAGTAAATGTCAACCCTATGTTTTGGAAGGCTTGTCTGATGATGACGCTTGGTCTTTGTTCAAACAAATAGCATTTGAGCAAAGATATGCGGACTCAACAAATCCATTCTTTTTGGAAATAGGAACGCAGATTTTGGAAAGGTGCGGTTCCCTTAGTCATAAAGACTATAGCTAGTGCGCTATCCATTAAAGACACTGAAAGAGAGTGGTGTTCTTTCAAAGATAATGAACTTGCTAGAATATCTCAAAAAGATGGTGAAATTTTACCTACGCTCAAGCTGAGTTATGACCATCTTCCAGTCCATTTGAAGCATTGCTTTGTTTATTGCAGACTGTACCCAAAAGATTATAGAATCCAAGTACATACACTTGTTCAACTTTGGATTGCACAAGGTTTTGTAAAGCAATTAGAGCCAAATCAATCTCTCGAAGAGATTGGGTTGGATTATTTTAAAGACTTAGCAGAAAGAAGTTTCTTTCAAGAGATAGAAGAATATGTAAACGGGGTAATGACATGTAAAATGCATGATTTAATGCATGATCTTGCTGAATCAGTAGCAGGGAGAGAGAGTGGTATTTTAGGTTCAAATTCAAATACAAGTGAGGTTGATGAAATATGTCGTCATATAACAATTGATTTTCAAATATTTCCTTCGTTCAAGGGAAGGAAGTTACGAACTTTGTTGCCCTTTCCTTACCCTGAAAATAGAAATAGGAGTGAGACGATTTGGAATTTAATAATTTCAAACTGTAGGTGTTTGCGGGTGTTAGATTTGGATTGGTTAGATCTTGATATAGTTCCACGCTCCATTCATAAATTGAAACATCTGAGGTACCTTGATCTCTCTTTGAATAAAGATCCTAAGATCCTCCCGAAGAGTATTTCCAAGTTACTAAATTTGCAAGTGCTGAAACTTGACTATTGTGTGCTGAAACTTGATCCGTTTTAGCCTATAATGGTTGAGGATTAAAGGTCTGGCTCGTCCAAGGGGCACCGACAAAGACAATTCGAGTACCTTTACTTCTAGATCCAAACTTCATATAGAGAATGTAGTAAGCCCACCTCTCTAGAGCCATATGGATACCCTAAGAGAACTAGAATGCGTGCAGTTAGGGTTCTAATTTTATCTGTATACTTTATTCATTATATTCATAGTTTATTTACCGATAGAATTTAATTATTTATTTTGATATGCGAGCCGAGATGCAAGGTGTGTCTGGTCACCTTGACACTATTGAAGCCAACCTTGCCGAGGTTCTTTCTTACCTTCACCCGGGGTCTCGACGTGTTCGTGGCCGCAATCGCCACTAGACCGGGGAGTATTCATTTTCTCTCTCTATGTTTTTTAATTTGATATACGTTTTGGGACAAAATGGATTAAGTGAGGGGGAATGATAAGCATGTCAAAAAAATTTTCCTTGACTTGTTTGATTGTTTGAAATTGAGATATTCTGATATTGATGTGCTGGGATCATTGGTTGAACTTCATTTTATACTCTTGTTTCCTTTTGGATTGTGACCATGTTTTGATCGAATTTAATTTGTATGATGGTGATTGGTATAGCTGGTGAATTTTTTGTTGAGTATAGTTATTTCATGATTTTGTTGATGGAGATGAACTTGACTCAGTGCATGTAAACTTTTCTTGTAAGATTCGAGCCTAAACGAACATACATTTTCTTTCTTGCTCATTGTTTGATTTGAGTGTGTCGGACTAATTAGGATATTCTAAAACTTGTAATCACAATGCATATTGAGACTACATGTTGAATGTAATGTTTTAATGTGATAGGGGCACCTAGGATAAACCCACTTTTCCAAAAAGCCTACCCATTTATATATCCACTAGTGAACCACATTCGACTTCCTGTAAACACTCTTAGCAAAATTGTTTGCTAAGAAGAAATTGAGATAGGAATCAGTTATTGTTGAAACAACATAATCCGAGTCGGCATCTTTTCAAACTTCAACGTTTTAAGATCTACAACATTATTGTTGCTTAGATCAACTCAAAAACCGAAATTTAAGAGTGCTCTTGGATATTCGGTATACAAAGCATAGACACAAGGAATTGTCCTTATGGACAAGTAGCCGACGTGAATCTTGAAATAAATATCTATTTCGATGATCCGAGGAATTTGAGGCAAAACTGAAGCCTGAGGTAGTTTTTACCATGAGTCTTCTTTATCTCAATTTATTTTATTTATTTATTTGTTTATTTAATCTTTATCACATTTTATTTTCTTTAGACAATTTAAAAACTCCCCCATTTTATCTTTATCTTTATCTTATAGTTATTACTTATTTATTTTATTATTTTATACTTATCTTCCATTTTAAACAATTTATATGTAATTATTTATTTAATTATTTTTTTCTTATCTTTTTATATTTATCTAAAATTCTATCTTCTTCTAAAGCAAAAAGTCCACTAAATCAAAAACACCAAAATCCCTGTGGATCTACCCTGCTTCTCTACACTATTCTCATTTTTTACTTATTAAGAAACCAAAATTATTTTAATAGCAAAACGATATCTATCATTTATTTATTCATGGGTTGAAGATTTATTCAAGTCTAATTTTGTGATGGGAACAGAGAGGCCCTCTGTTTTCTTTTGGAATCTCACTTCATACCAAATAAATTTCTTCCTCAACGTAATCAATATCACCCGATTCTTTACTACTGAGTTAAAAGTAATCCAAAAGCAAGTGTCATTTAATCATTTCACCATTATCACATTCTGTTTTCAGGAAAACTCGCACCGGAAAAACATAGGCAACGGCTTTGTGGTTGGCCACCATTGGTGCACAGAATATGAAGTAGTTTAGTAACAGAGTAAATGCTTCTACTTTCTGACGATGTCGATCTAAACTAGATAAATCTTAACATATTGAGAACTTGCAGGTTCATCGTTATTGCACATACGAAATTGATGAGACATGTCGGCTTTATTAGAGATTTTATAAAGGGAGGCAACCCTCCATGCATTTGGAACATCAAATCTACTCATAAACAACTTCATCAAGTTCATGACAAGGCATCAAGTCTACTCACCACCAAGTTTTCTTTTGTGATGCGATTTCGGGATTGTCTTTTTCTTTGCAAAGAGTGTTTACACAATGTCTAGTAGGAAAGGTTGTTTGAGGAGAATTCATGCTAAATGTATCCAGTACTGTGAGTTCAATAGTGATTTTTCTTTTCTGGGCGTTGCTTGTGGAATACGGTGCATGTGATTAGGGGCATGAGATTGTAATTTGTATTACTGAAATTTGTTTATTTATGAATATTGGGGAATTTTACTTTTACGGTGTGTCGTTCTGGTAGACCTAATACGACACCCTAGATCGGATCGGCCACCCGCATTGATATGAGGGGGTTACAATGACCTTGACGATCTCAAACGCACTGTCATCAGAATCCAAGCTGTGCTTCTTGACGCAAAAGAGCGATCGGTGACCAGCAATGTTGTCAAAGTTTGGCTTCATGAGCTGAAAGATGCACTATATGATGCGGAAGACTTGTTTGATGATGTCCACACTGAAGCCTTGCGGAAGGATCTAATGAGTGGGAACAAGCTGATCAAAGAGGTACGTGTTTTCTTCTCAAGCTCAAACCAGTTTGCTTATGGTCGCAAAATGGGTGGTAAAATCAGGGCCATTAAGGCCAGATTTGCTCCCATTCAAAGTCAGACCAGTGAGTTAAAGTTGGTAGAGAGTGGCCTTCCTGTGGAAGCCCCTTTCATGGCCAAAAGGAGGCAACAAACACACTCTTTTGTGCATAAAGATGAAATAATAGGGAGGGACGGTGATAAAACAGCTCTTTTAAAACTCTTGCTAGATAGATAGTTTCAAAGCGAAGAGAATGTTATTATCGTTCCAATTGTGGGGATTGGAGACTTGGGAAAAACTGCGTTGGCGCAGTTTATCTTTAATCATGATATAATTAAAGATATTTTGAGTTGAGGAATGTGGGTTTCTGTTTCTGATGTTTTTGATGTGAAAACAATAGTAGCAAACATTATCAAATCCGCGACTAATCAAGCCGGATCAAAATCTTGAGATAGACCAATTGCAAAATCAACTTCGTAATAAAATTGATGGGAAAAAAAATACTTGCTTGTTTTGAATGATGTTTGGAACGAAGAGGGAGAACATTGGTTCAACTTAAAGAAGTTATTGATGGGTGGGACTAGAGGAAGGTAATAGTAACTACTCACTCCCATAGAGTAGAAAAGATTACTAGTAAATGTCAACCCCATGTTTTGGAAGCCTTGTCTGATGATGATGCTTGGTCTTTGTTCAAAGAAATAGCATTTGAGCAAAGATCTGCAGACTCAACAAATCCAGCCTTTCTGGAAGTAGGAAAGCAGATTGCAAAAAAGTGTGGTGGGGTTCCCTTAGTCACAAGGACTATAGCTAGTACGCTATCCATTAAAGAAACTGAGAATGAGTGGCGTTCTTTCAAAAGATAATGAACTTGCTGTATATCTCAAAAAGATGGTGAAATTATTACGCCTGCACTTGAGTTATGACCATCTCCCATACCATTTGAAGCATTGCTTTGCTTATTGCAGACTGTACGCAAAAGATCATAAAATTAATGTACCAACACTTGTTCAACTCTGGATTGAACAAGATTTTGTAAAGCGATCAAATTCGAACCAATCTCTTGAAGAGATTGGGTTTGGGTATTTTAAAGATTTTGCTGAAAGAAGTTTCTTTCAAGAAGTAGAAGGATATGAGTATCAGAAAATGACATGTAAAGTGCATGATTTAATACATGATCTTGCTGAGTTAGTAGCAGGGAGAACGAGTAGTATTTTAGACTCAAATTCAAGTACATTGTGGTTGATGGAAATTGCCGACACATATCAATTAAGCTTTCACTATTGCCTTTGTTTAAGGGAAAGAAGTTACGAACTTTGTTACAATTTCCTAACTTTCAAGATCGAAATATGAATGAGAAAATTTGGGATTTAATAATTTCAAACTGTAGAAGTCTGTGTGCGTTAGAATTGGATGTTTTACGTCTTAATACAGTTCCAGGATCCATTTAAACTGAAACATTTGAGGTATCTTGATCTCTCTTGGAATGGAAATCTTAATATCCTCCCTAAGAGTATCTTCAAGATACAAAATTTACAAGTGTTGAAACTTGACGAATGTTGGGGGCTTGAAAAACTGCCAAAGAAGATTGAAAATTTGGTGAATCTTACTCATCTTGCGCGTGATCACTGTAATAGCTTAACCCAAATGCCACGTGAATAGGGAAGCTGACTTCACTTCAGACGTTAAGCCTGTTTGTGGTGGATAACCGTGATTCCCATGGTGGTGATGCTGCTGATCTAAGTGAATTGAGTGGGCTTAACAACTTAAGGGGAAAGCTAAAAATAAGAAACTTGGGATTGGTGAAAAATGCAAAAGAGGAGTTTAGGGCTGCTAATTTGCAAGAGAAACAACATTTGCAATCATTGGTTCTATAATGGAGCGGTGAAGAAGATGATAAAGAGAGGTCACCTGAAGACCTCCAGCCCCATTCTAATTTGCAGGAGCTCCATGTGATTGGATGGAAGGGTGATACCAAGTTTCCGAGCTGGCTTTCTTTGCTCACAAGTCTGGTCTATATTCGAATATTTAGTTCCAGGAAATTTAAACATCTCCCTTCCTTTGCTACATTGCCTCATCTTCAACAGCTGCGGATTGAAAAGTTAAGTGAGGTGGAGTACATGGACTATAGTGACCCCAGTGGAGGACAAGGAGAATCAGAGTCATTTTCCAATCGCTTAGGTATCTTAGCCTAAAGCAATGTCCAAATATAAAGAGTTGGTGGAGGGAAAGGCCGATTGATGATCATAACCAAGAAGGAACATCAACTATGGCATTTCCTTGCATTTCCAGTTTACATATTGAAGATTGCCCTTTGACTTCAATGCCGTTGTATCCATCACTCGATGAGGTCCTAACCTTGATCAACACCAGTTCAAGGCCTTTGAAGCAGACCATTCAGATGAACATCATTAGTACAACTCCATCAACCTCTTCTCTTCCTCTCTCCAAATTGAAATCTTTCGCTTTGGAGAATATTGAGGAAATGGACACAAACATGCTAGATGAGTGCCTGCAAAATATGACTTCTCTCAAACAATGGCGTAGTGTTTCTTGGCTTTGGCTAAAGTCTTTATCTGGGTGTCTGCAACAGTTGACCGGTCTCAAAAGGTTAACAATACATGACTGCAAGGAGCTTGATTTAGAAGGCATGCAATGGGAACTCCTTAAGAATCTGTCTCATTTGGAGATCAATTATTTCCCTCAGATGGTTGACTCTTCCCCTTCCCCCTTCAACATCTTGTTCAGTTGAAAACATTACAAATTGAGAATTGCAATGGATTGAGGACCCTCTTTCCTGTGTTCCAACATCTCACTTCCCTTGAAACGCTTCAAATAATTAACTGCAAGGAGCTGGAGCTATCTGCAGATGGCATACAAATATTCCAACATCATACAAGCCTACGTGTTGTACATTTGGAAAATATTCCAAAGTGTCGGCAATCGGCATCTTCCGGAGTGGCTTCAACATCTAACAAATCTGGAATGGCTTCGTCTCATTAATTTGCCCGATTTAACATGGCTTCCGGATAAGATGCGTTACCTAACCAATTTGGAATTCTTATATATGAAAGAAATTCCCGAGTTGGAGGAAAGATGTCGGAAGGAAATTGGTGCCGATTGGCGTAAGATTGCTCACATCCCAAGCATTTAGGTGAATGAAGTTGGTGCTTCCTATCCTTTTCATTTCTTCTTCACTTTTATAACAATATATTGTCTTATCTATTTTCAGCATGTGAATATGGCTTACTTGATTTCTATCTTCGGGATTATGTGCAAGACCTAAAGTAGAGCATTTGAGTACTTGAAGAATTTATATGCAGAAAAAGTGGTAATAGTTATCTTTTTGCTTAACGCTTTTAAATGATAAGAATCTCAGAATTGCAGTTGTCTGATAATGAATGTTCCTTTTTGTCAGCATGAGTTTAATGGAAGACATACATTCTTCAAAAGCTGATGCCATGAAATCCACTTGTTTATTTGCTCCTGGGTCGAAGATTTATTCAGAATTTGTCACTGAAGCAAAGGCCCTCTGCATTCCTTTGAAATTGCACTTCATACCAAATAAATTTATTCCGGAAGGTAATCAATATCACCCAATTCTTTACTACTCGAGTTCAAAATAATCCAACAACAAGTATCACTAATCATTTCGCCATTATTATCATATTCTCTTTGCAGGAAAACTGACAAGGCTTTCTTATGATGTACCTAAGGTGATGCGGACATGACTAAGAAGCTTGCAATGCTAATCTTGTGGATTGTTTATTTTCAACATGCTTCTACTCCATGCTCTGCTTTTCAATGATCATATGAAAATGACATAAATTTCCTTGTAACTTTCGATTGATTCAATAAAATTGACATAAATGGTGACCAAATTGTACACGTCTCAGATGACACCGCCATAGTCTTGGAAGATGTGAGTTCAAGTAGTGCCCTCTTCAGGTGAGTAAATTTGATCAGAGTTGGGCTGTTAAAGTAAGATCAGGAATCCCTAAAGAAAAATGAAGTTGGCAACATTCTTTGATGCAGGGGCATCCTTTTAGCTGGTTGGAATTTCAGCAAAGTTCCTTGTTGAAGCTTCAGAATATTGGGAGGTGAGATTGATAGCTGTTTCATTACTTATAACTTGCAGGTTCATTATTGTTGCACATACGAAATTGATTAGAGCCTCATAAAGGGCTGCAATCCTCCATGCATTTGGAACATCAAAACCAAGGTTTTAAATCACGGTCCGAAAATGTGATAGCACCCGCAAAATAGTGGTTTCACCGCCGTCCGAGTTACCCGCTACACCTGCAATAGCGCCTAATAGCGCCCACGACGGATCTATAATAGCGCCTGCGACGGCCACAATCACGGTAAACCCGAAATGACCAAAAACACGACCGCGACAGCGATTTGAAACCCTGATCAAAACTACTTAAAAACAACTTCTTCATGAGCTTGAGAAGCAGCAAATCTACTCACCAAGAAGTTTTCTTTTATGATGCATTTTTGGGATTATATTTTTCTTTGTAAAGATTTTTATACATACATGATACCACGTCTAGTAGAAAAAGTTGTATGAGAACTTATACTAAATGTATCTTGTACTATGAGTTCAATAGTGATTTTTTTTCTTGGCAAGGCCCCGCAGATGTAGGTGTGACACCGAACTGCGTAAACAATCCCATAGTTTTCTGCTGGTGTATTTTTAAGGTTAACCTTCTGGCTATCGAATGCCATAGTGCTGAGGGAGATCATTTCTCAACTATTTAACAATTCATCCGACTTGAGTCGAAATTGCACAGCCTGCAGAGTTTGATGGAGGCGTGAAGTAAAGTCTACAACTCTGCAATGGGTAGTGAAGAAGTGAATGGCTGTAGGCAGCTCGTTGATGATTGGAAAAAGACGGTAACCTTCACATCTGCATTAGGAAAAGTTGAATCTTGGGTATTCTCTCGGGTAGTAGAGTGCGTTTTTGTTTCTCGTTCCAGGCTCTTACTTCCATATATGCAACCTGCGGGTGGGGGTTTATATGCTGGTGAAACAACCAGAAAATTGTCGGGAGAGAAGCTTCTCTCCCCACAAATGAAAAACCACTTTCGAAGATACTTTTCAACTGATTTGCCCTCTTAAAGCTAAAGGTCACGAGTGCGGTTGCTTGCAAGTATGGTATATATAGAGAGAGGTAGGTATGTGTGTCGGGGTGAGCATATTAGTGTATCTTTTTGAAAATACTGGTTGATATCAAAACGAAAGAACATTTCAATTGTAAAAAATGATAGGAAATTTCTTGGAATGGTCATGAACATTATATATATATATATATAAAAGCGTAATTTTTTACATTTGATGCCAAAGGGCCCTTCTTTGCTTTATTACGGAGCCTAAAAGGCTAAAAGGACTCCTCCTTTCTTAAATATCAACATTTTTTTTGAATTAATTCTCAAATTAATATTTATTTTATATTGAAATTTATATTTTTTGTCACGTAAGGTAAACCGGTAAAGGGGTGTTCTGCTAGTAGCGTCTTTAAAAGGCGTTTGTTATAGGATGTTTCTTTGTCTTACGTGGTAACTCAGTCACTAACTTTTTTCTTCACGTGAAAGGTGTCCATGATCAAACACGTATTTTGGAAGATTTATTAAAAAGATTAAAAAAATAAAAAATAAAAAACAAAATTAATTGTATCATATGTCCTCAAACTATAATTTCATTTTAAATAATCCTTAAACTTTTAAATATTTTAATTTCATTCTCAAATTATGACTCTCATTCTAAATTAATCCTTAAAGTTTTGCACATTCTAATTTCATCCCTAAACTATGACCCTCTTTCTAGATTGGTCCTCAAACTTTTGAATATTCCAGTTTCATTCCCAAATTCATCCAAATATGTAATTAGTTTCAACCATAGTTTAAACTATTTTTTTAAAGAAAAACATATAATAATATAACTTGGCCTAATTATTTTATTAACAAGGGATATGATCAGTATACACATTCTAAATTGGGATGAAATTGGAATGTTTAAAAAGTTTAGAGATCAATTTAGAATGAATGTCATAGTTTGGGGATAAATTAAAGTTTGAGGATTGATTTAGAATGATGATCATTGTTTAGGGATAAAATTGGAACATTAAAAAGTTTAGAAACCAATTTAAAATGAGGATCATACTTTGAGGATATATAATGCAATTAACTTTAAAAATAGAAAATTATTATTATATAGATAGAAATTATAATAATTAAAAAATATGGTATTATAATAAGAAAAATTACAATATTAATAAATAATAGAAATAGAAATAGAAAATATTAATGAGTTTCACAGTGCGTAGTCGTCTATTTCATGCAAGGGTTGTCCATATTAATTGTTCTACATTTGTTATTTATTTCTGGGTAATTAAACCTGCGTTTCATTCCAATCATTTCACACTTCCTCTTGCAAATAATCAAACACTTTCGCCTTGATTTCAGTTTCAACGATCCATGGCCGAAGCAATTGCTTTCGACATCGCTGCAGGGCACATTACTAAACTGAGTTCCCTTGCCCTCTCTCGAATCGGACTGTGCTGGAATTTCAAAGATGACCTCGACGACCTCAAAAGCATCGTCTCTGCAATCAAAGTTGTGCTTCTTGACGCAGAAGAACGATCGGTGACCAGCAATCTCGTCAAAGATTGGCTTGGAAAGCTGAAATATGCTCTATAGATGATTTTTCTACCGAAGCTTTACGAAAGCATCTGATGAATGGGAATGAACTTACTAAAGAGGTACGTGCTTTCTTCTCAAGCTCAAACCAGTTTGCTTACGGTCTCAAAATGGGACGTAAAATCAAGGCCATCAAGGCCAGATTTGCTTCCATTCAAAGTCAGACCAATGGGTTAAACTTGGTACAGCGTGACCATCCTGCGGTGGACGAAAGGAGGCAGCAGACGCACTCTTTTGTGCGTTAATATGAGATAATAGGGAGGGAAGATGATAAAAAAAAAACTCTTCTAAAACTCTTGCTAGACATAGAGTTTCAAAGCGAAGAGAATGTTATTATCGTTCCAATTGTGGGGATTGGAGGCTTGGGAAAGACTGCGTTGGCGCAGTTTGTCTATAATCATGAAAGGGTTAAAGATCATTTTGAGTTGAGGATGTGGGTTTGTGTTTCCGATGTTTTTGATGTGAAAACAATAGTACCCTTCACTAATTCCTTCATTTAAGGGAAAGAGGTTGCGAACTTTGTTAAACTTTCCTAACCATAGAGGTCGATATATGAAAGACGCAACTTGGGATTTTATAATTTCTAATTGTAGGTACTTGCTTGTGTTGGAATTTCATCATTTAAATTTTGATACAGTTCCATGCTCCATTCATAAGTTGAAACATTTGAGGTACTTCGATCTCTCTTGGAGTGATCTTAAGATCCACCCAGATAATATTTGCGAGATGCAAAATTTGCAAGTGCTGAAACTTGACAATTGTTTCCGGCTTGAAGAATTGCCAAAGAAGATTTAAAAATTAGTGAATATTAGCCATCTTGCGTGTGCTGGTTGTCATAAACTTGGTTTCCATGGTGCCGCTGCTGCAGATCAAAGTGAATTGGTTGGGCTTAACAACTTAAGGGGAGAGCTAAGAATAATAAATTTGGGATCTGTGAAAAATGCAAAAGAGGAGTCCAGGGCTGCTAATTTGAAAGAGAAGCAACATTTGCACTCATTGGTTTTACATTTGGGCGCCACTACAGATGATGAAGAGAAGTCACTTGAAGACC